AGCGGGAGCCTCCCCTTGAGACCTGGGATCACACCACAGCGCAAACCCCTCTTCAGTTTTTCTGCTCAAACAACACGCACTTTAAATCTGCTTATCTGAGGCAGCGTCTCCGACTCGGATGACACGAGCATTTGATCCGTGGTTAACTACGGGGACGCGTGATGTAATGCGATGTGAAAGCACGCCAGCTGATGTGTGGAAGCGCGCTAAAAAGGCGAGCGGGATGTCCACCTAGGGTTGCGGACGAATGCAGTCACATCAAACTAATCTCAGATCATCGGAGTGACATCTAGTGTTGTGCAACGGGAATCAAACGGCATTGTGCGAGCTGAGGGGTGTCTAGGAAACCCGCTGCAGCATTTTGCGTAAAAGCTGTGACTGTGATGCAAAGAGCAGCAGGACAAACACCAGGCCTGAGGAGTAAATGTCTCATTACAGCAGGACGGACAACGAGACGACACTCGGAAAGCGTCAGCGTGGAGAGCAACGAGCGGGTGTCGTTGACCCGGGGAACGAACGCCGGTCAAATTCTCCGAGCATTTAATGACATAGAATGTTCTGGGTCGCCTCAATGTCACTGAGCAACAGATAGTTGTGGAGAGCGGAGAGCATCGTGGACCGCGCGTCGCTCTCAGCCAGTGAAACAGCAGCTAAGCCTGCAAATGATCCCTGCATCTCTGAGAGCTGCAATATGTGCAACAGGATTAAAAGACAAGTTTCCCTTTCTTTGGACAAATTCTTAATTATTTTTTGATAAAAACTAAAAGTTAATTACATAACCAGCCAATTATGATCGACGGAGTCCTCACAAAACAGCTGGAGATTCAAAGGACACGTATGGAAATAGGATGAAGCCAAAAAGAGAACTGAAAGTTTGGCAAAGTTCAAAGAAGATATCCGTGAAAACATGAAGGGTCCTACTTTACATCAGCTACTGGTTAACAAACTGCGTTGGACGCAGGCCGAGGGGCCGCGGAGGGAGGACCAAACTTCAGCCAAACACTCTCAGAATAATGCATAGCCATGTGTCACCGCCTGGCACGGGCGGGAGGACGGAGGTATCGCCCAGACACCGATGCCCAAAACGCAGAGAGACATGTGCTCCCTTTAATCCAACGCCATCAGGAGGAAAAAAGGGATTCAAGTGTCTTTCTACCACGTGAACGACTAATGTATCAACACTGTTCAGAAGATGTTAAATTAATCTTACTTGATTATGTGGAATCTTTGTGTGCCACATTCAAAACATAATTGTTTTGGTCCTTTGGTGTTGTTTCCTCTTGGGACACACAGTGAACACAAGTTAAATACTGCAGTTTAATCTCATATTTAGTTTGATTTCTGACCTAAACAACAAAAGAAAACACCTGATGTCAAGTCCTTAATGAAATGATTCAAAAAACAGTATTTACTCCTTTTATTTTCTGCTGGCTCAGTCGATACATTACATCCTTTTTTGTTTTGTGTCCGTTTAATTGTTGTTTTTCTCATGATTTCACACGCGTCTTTTTTCCGGAATGAGGTCAATTTCTCTGAGCTTTCGCACTGCAAATAAAGGCATCAACCAATTCGATTCCTCAAAATAAGGCGTTGAAACACATTGTTTTGGTGGTGAGACGCAGACATCGGTACGTTACGTTTGTCTCCACAGTGAGCCGCACTCATGTGGTGTGACCTTCCTCTGGGAACCTGGAGAACACATCCCGTAATATCAATTAGACCGCCGGTGGCGTTTGTGTGGCTGTGGAGATGACAGGAAAGAAGCCCAATGACGCGTCTTCACTGTGACCATCGACCACTTCCTGGTGTTCCACGGTGTTTCTTGAGAGAGAGAGAGGCCGAGGCAGAGCCGGTGGAGGGCTTTTACCGCCGCTGGGATTCATTCCTGGTTCCAATTTGCGGACGGATTACCTCACTTTTTCATCATCCCTTTATTTATTCCATTTCCAAATTCATTTCTAATTTACCTGAAGGAAAACAAAGCATCAAGCCAAACGCATAAATACTGTCGGAGTGAATAGATAATGACAGCGGGTCAAGTTGTGAGTGAGTCACGTCCTCGCTCCTGGAGGAAAGTGATTACTGTAACACGCCGCTGACAATCACCACCGAGATAATTCCATTTCTCACATGGAGCTCAAATTGTATTATGTCACATTGTATTTCGCATATGCTATCAAAACCTGGATTTAGATATGCAAACTATCTGGAAAATTCGAAAGGAGTAAGGGGGGGGGGGGGGACACGGGGTTGGCATCCAGGCGTGTCACTTTGTCAGGCTGTCTGGTTTCTGAGAGAGCTTTCTGAGGGAGGGGAGAAAGAAGAGTCGTGGAGGCATGCTCTCCTCCAAGATGAACAGATGGCAGAGTCTAAGAGTGGAGATTTGTTTTATATCTCCATCCCATGTCGCGGCGAAGTGGATGTGGGCTTCTGCTTCCTTTTTTCCTTTTTTCTCTCCCCCTCCTTCTTCAAATGTTATCTTACCGGGTAGCGGATGCACGCAATGTTTAAGCTAATGAGGAGTGGGTGTCGCTTTGTCTTCCTTCTGTATTTCTTTTCCCTCTCTCCCACCGACACATCTTCGTGCTTTTTCTGTTTTTTTTTCCTCATTCTCCCTCAAACCCACGCTTGGAGCAGAAAAACATATATGCCAAACAATTATGAAACACAATTTGGAGTGCTGGGTGGCCTTCTTAAACAAACAGCAGACTGTAGAGCTAGTGACAGTAAACGACAAGTCAAAGTCAAAAGAGCACAATGCTGGTGGAGCTGGAGAGGATATCGGGTCAGTGCACCGCTGCTTCTGCAGCAAAGTGGAGAGGAAGAGTGCAGTTCAGTGGCAGTTCACCGTCGGCCCGGCTGTTTGGGACGACGGTCGGCCGTTGTAGCACTTTGGTTCAGAGTGGCACCTCTCAACAACTCATTTCACAGCAAGCCACCGGATGGACGGGTCCACGCACAGAAAATGAATTTAGTCACGCACAAAGTCTAAAAAAGAGAATAAAAGTAAGTAATAACCAGCGTTATCTCCTCGTCACCAGGGTGACCTGACTCACTGACTTATAAAGTTCTTCTTCATGGAAAAAAAACACTTTCTCTGTATTTGTTCTAAAGTATACTGCAAGTACCAGGGATCTGGGCTTAAGAGTCACGGGGTCAAATCTGTTTCACAATCGGCCTGAAGAGAGCTAGCTAACGTTAGCAGTTAGCGGTCGGTGGGCAGCAAAGTCCTGTTTGGCTATAATAACTGGGCTAACAGCTAATGTACAGAAGTTACATTGAGTTACATTATGATGCATTCAAGCTCTATTCAGTAAAACCGAGTACTGGGTGAAGACAAATTATCATGATGTGTTCAAATGCAATCATACAAATGTCTCTAAATGGTAATAAAGGGCTGTACGTTGAGTTACATGGTGTTAAATTGGATATCGAGAATCGTGAAATGTCACTGTTTTTTGTATCGACTATAAAATTTCTGGTATGTTGACATTCCGACTTGCAAATGCAGCAAAACCAAAAGAATCAAAAGGAACTTGTCCTCAACTATTGCTCTTTGCTGTTGGTTGTGTTTTGAGAGTAGCCGACGCTCGGCTCGTATGACAGGAGATGTGATGCGTTCTGACTCCTCACCTGCCGCCCAAAGTCTCTACTGTGGCAGGATGACAAAACACGACTCCCTCAAATGTCCTCTCCACAGAAATAACTTCTTTTGCTTTTGAAGTCCTGCCTCGATTTTAAACTCTGTAGCGTGAACGCAAACCAAACGCAAACATACAATAAAGTAAACTTCAGGTAAACTTCCAAACAAGAAGAACAATAAACTCCCAACATCCCCCAGCCTGGGAGAGCAGCCCTCGCACCTGTGACCAGGTAAACTTCCCACACAGTCGTTAATGGACACGGCGGCTGTTGTTTACTGAAGACTCCCCACAGAGGAGACTAGCTGACCCATGTCTGCAACCAGTGAGTGGTACAAATGGCGAACATCTCTCGGAGTCATTATTTATGCAGGAATGCCCTTGGGAGTCTTTGCACTTGTTTACACAGTCACGGCACAGCCCATTCATGACGGCTCCGAGTAAATGAGCCGCTTGCTACCAATTTGTCCTGGACGACGAAGCTTTGGGGCTCTACTACCCCACAGTCACCGTGGGGTGTGTGTGTGTGTGTGTGTGTGATCCTGTGTGTAGGAGCATGGAAAAGAGGTTAACGCAGCACTGCTGTGTTGTCGGGAACCGACCTGGAACTATGGACACAGAAGTCCCAAGGGTATTAGGAAGCACTGTGTCACTTTTGGAAATAAATGAGAGAATATTTTTTCTCCAGAAGAATGCCGTGGACTCACCTTTGAAACGGGCTGTTTGTTTGCCCCGAGGACGAGGACGGTGGTCAAAGTTAGCGAGCACCTCCTCCCTCATGAAACCAAAAAACCAAGACAGGAGTTTTATGGAGGTTGAACTCAAAGGCAAAATGAAGGCAAAGCGAGTCCAGCGTGAGTTTCGGGGAACCGGTGCAAGTTCTCTGTTTGTTAACTGGTACTTGAATGCATCGTGTGGAGGTCTCTTTTAATGCAGATCCTTCACTTAGTTAATACCGTGAAGATTTCAGCCCTGGTTCACGAAGCAGCACCCTCGGTTTCTATTGGTGACTGCCAGTGCAGTTTAAAACTACACCTCCCAGAATTCTTGAGCAGCTACTTTGCCAGAGAAATAAAACAGCATGGCAGCTGGTTGATATGTTTAACTGCAATCAACAAACTCATATTGCATAAGAAGATTGAATCCATGGCGGTGAAAGGCGGACTCTGCCACTAATCATGAAAACTACTATATATTACATTACAGTCATTTAGCAGACGCTTTTATCCAAAGCGACTTACAATTCAGATTCTATATTAGTTCTACACCGCAGGCACAACTACAGGAGCAATTTTGGGGTTAAGTGTCTTGCTCATGTCTCTGTCTCGACATGCGTCTAGCAGAGCCGGGGATCGAACCGCCGACCCTCTGATTGAAGGACGGCCTGCTATCCACTTAGCCACAGTCGCTCCTGCGTATATATAAAAAAGTGATTACAGAATGTGACCGCATTGAATGTTGTTCTGCTAACTTCACTGAGACGAAGCCTCTCTTTTGCATAAACAGCGTGATACTCACACTTGTCTAACCTCTAGGTCACCACTACTAGTTATTGCTGAAAAAAACGCCAATAAATAATATCAAAAATTGGGTTTGATTCAATGAAAGTCCTAGATTTTAACTTTAACTGTAAGAGGCAGCAGGAGTCAGAAAACTCAACATTATTAAAATTTTAGTTTCGTAAAAGTACAGAATAATTATGAGCAGAATGTGCTCATACTGTAATATGAACAGTACAAATAAGTAGTTGTGCGAGGCGGAGGACTCTTTCAATGCTACTGTATATTACAGGATTATTGTACATGGATTATGATGTTTGAGTCGACAGAAACCTACCAGCATGTGCAAAATGTAACATTTACAGATATATATGAATAATTTAGCATGAGAAAAAATGGAAAACGATAGAAGGAAAATGAAGCTAACTCCTTAATTCTATAGTAATAAATGTACATTACACAAAAACACCTAACGAGCACAAACCTTTGAATTCAGGCTAATTTTAACGAGTGACTAATGCAGCAGCATATGAAACACTTTAATGAAGCACATAGGAGGCGTATTGTACTGCCAACATAATGTATGTCGCTGCAATGAGGGTCCTACACAAGTCTATGCTGTGAATTACAATATGAATGCAGTCCTTGAATCCTCATCGACTGTTATCCTCAAACACGTTCTACCTCACAAATAAGCTGCTAATTATTAGTGAAAAGTGATGCTACAAAGAGAGCGACTGGATTCTGAATACAAAGCATTCAATTCAGATTATTATGACTGTTTGAGTTTCACTGCCTTTTTTAGTTTTTTTTAAAAAGCTTCTATGTTTCTAATTCAAAACTGCCATCAACTGGCAGCTTTTGGCATTTCTCACCTCACCTCAACAGAGCGAGTGTGTGGATGCAGTTTGCCTTCATGTCTCAGTGTGTGTGTGTGTGTGTGTGTGTAATCTATGTGTGATGGGAAAATCTGGGGAGGATTCAATTAAGTATTCAAGTCAATTCAAATGACTTCCCTTGTTGGTGTACGTCCAGTGAAAGGGGAAGAAAACGGGGGGGGGAGAAGAGAGAGAGAGAGAGAGAGAGAGAGAGAGAGAGAGAGGATCATTTAATAAGCTTCCTCCTAAACCACTCCAAAACCTCCAGAGTTTAATTGCTAGGAGGCAACATTATCCCTAGCAACACTGTGTCTGTCTCTTGGCTGGGATTCGGCGGGTACCTGCTGTATCCACTCCCCACACAATACAGCACCCACTGAGCCATATAATCCTCTCAGGCCCTCCTCTTCTGGAGAACCACATTCAATCCCGTTGTGACATGGGAAAATCTCCTCTTCTCCTTTTTTATTTCTGGTCAGGGTACGTGCTTCAAATAAGCCCAATCAGTAGGCGCTGTTATGTGTGCACAGTGCTACGGGGAGCCACGGATTGAAAAAAGGGGGAAACAGAAAGGAAGAGTCAAATAAAAAGGCGGGTTTTGATTTGCTGCTGTGAAATTTGGGTCTAGCTCTCCATTCCTCCGCGGAGCTCCCTGGAGCGTCCGTACTTCTGTTTATGTTTAAATGTGAATCAGTCAGACGGCTGTTGGCTTCCTGCTGAATCATCCCGGCTTACTTTTGAACGAGCTGCCTCGTAGGAGAAAACAAGAAACCAACGCCACTCTCCTTTTCCCCGACTCCTCTTTCAAGTTGCCCTTGAAAAGAAAATTACAACAACGGCTTTGATGCACGTCTGACATGCTTCCAGATATTCTCCATAAGTGCAGACGCGCATCGAGATTATCATTCCAACGAGTGTGTTTTCGGATGTCTTTTAACCGTCTGCACGGGGAACGAGCTGACAAGAAGAAAGCGTCTCTCCACACAGAGGTGCAGAGGGAAAACAGAGGCTCATTACACAAAATGGCAAAGAGAAGAACAATGGGATTCCTTTGTTGTCCGGTGGTTTGTAACTTTAGTCAATATGGCATTTAGAGATCTGCTGAGACATCTTCTAATTAGAAGATGAGCTGAATAATGAGATGGTACAGAGGCAGCGTACTGCACAAGATATCTATTCATTTTGAACATTTAGCTGGTCTCAGCCCTGGCAAATGAGCTGCTTCACTTTTTATACTTAGTTCTCCGAGTAGAAAACGATTACATCATTGAATCCTGCATTTTAACAGTTCACGCAGTTGTGCTGATTTCTTTCGTCCCCTTATTATTGTTTCTCAACAGTGGGGTCTGTTGGATATTTTGTGTTATGTAATTTAGTAACCCTCTGAAAGATACTGTATATTAAGTAAGTATTGTTTTCCCCGTAGGCTCACTGCTCCAACATGAACATGTACATATATCGTTATCCATCAGTTATGAAGGTTTGTCATCCTACCTGTCAGAGGATGGAGGTGGTGGGAGGAGCAGGAATCACTTGTTGCCGATGCCGAGAGTGAAGTCCAATGTCGACGCCAATCAGTTTCTGTAAGAAGACAGAGATTCATAACTCAGTTTCCCAGGAAAGATTTCCAGCGGCGTATTAATACACATGTGAGGATGTATAGCAGCAGGATGGTGCATGTGGGATTGGGTCAAAATAAACTACAGTGTGTTCATGCTAATGGGGCTCTTTGATTGTGTTTTTTAATAGTTTTAGGACAACAATGGAGCTCTATGGCACAGAGGAAGAGAACATATCAGAAAAAAGACAATATACGACAGACTTTGCAGCCGTAGAGAGGTTTGTAATGATGGGATATAATATCCGAGTTCAGAGCAGGGCCGGCGCTCACATTCATAAAAGCGTGAAAAAAAGCCCTTCCCTGTCCAACAAAGCTGTAAGAAATAAGATGTGGAGGTGGAAGGTGAGCTCATAATCCATAACAGATAGTTAAGCGTGGCCACGCTGGCATCCAATCCTTATGAAAATTGTAACGGGCTTTGGCACGAGCACAAGATCCAACAAATCAAAAAAATGTGAGGCTTCCACTCATCTGCAGTCCGGCCATGAAGGCTGTTTCTGGGGAAAAAAACAACAACCACGTGGTCAGCTGCTGAGCTCCACACCTGCCGCTTTATTCTTACAGGGATTTGTAGCATTGTTTTTAAAAATAAGCACATTTGCCGGCACGGCGAGTGATTCACGTAAGATTAGATTATATAAATTGTCAGTAATGAGGCACCGGGGACGGCGTCTGTGATCCGCAGAGGTCGACCGGAACATTCTGCTTCACCGCTGAATAAGATGCATCCTGAGTGCGATTTAACAATCTTTAACACGAGCAGGTACATACAAAGAGACAAGCAGAGGTCCGAGAGGGCGCGGTGCTTGTTGTGGAGGTCACACACACACACACACACACACACACACACACACACACACACACACACACACTGCTGACAAGAGGAAAATATGAGGACTTCTGAAGCGCTCTAAAATGTATGAAGAAACGAGTGTAAGGGTCATTTTACTGAGCAGCGCCATTAACATTGCTGCCCTTGTCTGAACTGCACCTCAGATCACACACACACACACACA